AAGCTTGTGGAAAACTGTTTTCTCCATCGTTCCAACAATTTTGTGATGTGTATTGGTTAATTAAATTTCAGTCTTCGAGATTTGGTATTTAGCAAAGTAAAATCATATGGTGGTTCTATTAGAAAACTATTATTCAAGTTTGGATATTTTTCGAATACAATAACAATTTTCTTTAGAATAAACTTATTATTATTATCAATGAAACCTTGAACATCAATCGAAACAGCATCTATCAACATTTTTCTAATGCTAAACAACTCGTTGTGCTAGTCCGTTTAATGGGTCACATTCAACTAAAAGGTCATGTATGTGGAGACAATATGCTTGACTTGGTGTCTTCAGTTCTATTGAAGTTCTCACATCAATAGGACCAGTTTTCAATGATTCGTTTTGATATGAAAGATCAACTACAATAATTGGGGCCTTCAAATTAAATTTATTTGGGGTCAAAAATGGTTGTGATTCACGACTATGGGAACTAGATTAAAATCTTGTATACATTTCATACTGATTCGTACTAAATTCAACATTAAGATTATCAAATGGATATGACTCAGTTTGATAAATGACTTGTGATAAGTTTTTCAAAGTGTAAACCCAATTATTGCAAATCATTTTTTTTCACGGTTAGCCGACAATTTCACATTCCAGCTGTGTTGACTCCCATATCCCCATTTGGGGTTAACATATGAATCGCAACTCCGGAATACGATTGGTATGTTTGCACCACTTTTAAGGAGTTACATGGGGAATTAACCAGGTTATATTCGTCATTTACAGTTTAATATTTTGTTCATTTCTGGTTTGTTCAAACACATCGCCAAGATTCTTAGTTAGCATCAACACTTGTTCGTGCTTACATTTTAACAAAACTTTTTTATAATCCTCAGCAAATCTCAACAATTTATTTAATGGTGCAGAAAAGTTAAAGTGGGGGTCCCGTAGAAATTTTGTTTCCACTGCTCCATCCAGAATTTAATAGTTTTTGGCTTTGAAGATTATCCTGAGATATAAAATTTCTTAGGGTAGTAGTCATACCGACATGGACTTGACACGTTGGACACTTAGTATTTAGTTGTTGCCTAGCAGTATTTTGATGGTTACTATCTGTTAAGTCTTGGTTTTGGATGGCTACTATCTGCATAGTACCTGTAAAGTACTTGGTTTTTGATTGTTATTATCTGTATAGTATCTGTAAAGTACTTAGTCATATATGGTATCTTTTAACAAGTGTTATGAGTTGTTATAGTCTTTTATTCAGAATGATCAAAGCACACAAGTTCATGTCTCTCAGATGTGTTAGCCATTTTGTCCTAGGCTCATTAAATATAAAAATGAGAAAGATTCTCTTTTTCCGCAACTGTCATTCCAAACGCAGATTTTCGCTTGGTTCCCATATAATTTTCACAATTTAATGATTTTCAGATGTTGGATTATTTTTAAAGCATACATTTGTTCATCTCACATTAACAATATAACATGTTTCGAAGGCATTATTGCCTAACATAAGAACATCTTTTAATTAAATTTCAGATTCAAGTTTATGATAGAGGTCTTGGGACCTGGTAATATCTGTTTCTAGTTGCCCACTATTTTTCTAGCTCTAGTTTTCTATGAATGAGTTATGAGTTGAATGAGTTAGGCATTATTGTCTAAAATTTTGAATAAGTTTAATAAACTCTTTAATTACAATACTCATCTGGTTTTCGCGACTTATAGTGGGGGTTGAGCTCCTTGGACTTTGATTACTAGCTGTTATTAACTTTTATGAGCTATTATTAGATGGCTACTATCTGTTAAGTATATGTCTACTAATTGTTATTAGCTGCTTACCATCAGTTTAGTAGTTTTAGTTTTAGTTGTTTACTGATTTTTGTTAGCTGGTTACTATATGTTTAGTAGATGTATACTAGTGGTTTTCTAGATGTTTTTAGCTGGTTACTAGCTAATTAGAATCGTTTTACTTAATGTTTACTAGTTGTTATTAACTTCTTCGAGCTGTTATAGTCTCTTGTTAAGGATGATCTAAAATTCTTGACCTCTAGACAACTTTCGGTGTTAAGTAAAAACTTACAGTCCGATTTTCGATGTGTTTGCTGTGTACGTGAAAAAGATCGCACAACCAAAATATCTAAAGATTGATATCTTAGAGGAGCATGTCCGATTATCCTGTGATTGTAAAACAAATTAAGAGATCAAAAGAGCCGCATTAGTTGTTCACGAGCGGTCTACAAGCTGTTTAGAAGCTGTTTTGTCATAAAAAATAAAACATTTCCTTCTTTCTTATTCTTTTATCTTATGAAGGTATTATTTGTTTCCACGGTCCTATAAAAAATCTATCCTTAAATACGCTAGCATCCCATAACTATAGTTATTAGCTACAATAAAACGTCTAGAAGGAAACTAAAATATGAATGTAAAAAAACGATTTGAAACTATCTATAATTGGGAAAGTAATTCAAATCGCTCCGGCGTAATAAAATAAAAAAAAAACACTATGATTATCTCATTTTCTATCACCATAACAAATTTGTGTACCCACACCTAAATGACCAATTGTATCCTTTGTCAAAAAATGTCTGTGACTTTCATTCATAAATTGGTCACCGACAATTTAAATCCCATTAAGCAAACCACCCATTGCTAACCGTGCCATAATCTCAGAGTCAAGTTGGTTATCTACAATAAAAAACGTGGAGCTGTAAAGGATTGCTAAACTCCCGAAGCAGCCGCAAAGGTCAAAGTAATGGAAAAAATTCAATCCCTTCAAAAAGAAAGTCATACAAATTATTTTTTTTTATTTGCAAACCATTTATAACTATAACCAACAATACAAATAGTGCTGTTACAAAGGATTGCTAAAATAACTCGATGCATTCGCAAAGGTCAAGGTAATGGAAAACATTCATAAAATATTATCCCTAGACAAAAAATAAAAATTTTTCTATTTGGATAATGAAAAATATATATATTAATTCAATACTTCGATTTTCCATAAAAATGCTTGATAAAACTTATTGTTTGATAGTCGCTAACTAATTGAGTAACAGTATTAGTCTTCTCTCTAAAAGTAAATGTATTAAAGCTGGTATTTTGGATCCCTCCAATTCCCCGCCGGTGAAATATATGTTTCTCATAGTTAATAATGATGGTTTGCCAGCCCCGACCCTCCTCCGCAACATAGATGGGTACTTGTAATTCATATTTAAGATATTTTCATCATAAACAGGTTTCGAATTGTATTGCATGCGCTAACCCCTGTAACAGTTTTGCTTTTCCAATGGCTGCCCCATCTACCTTCACTATACATTCCCTATGATTTTCCATTTTCCTTTCTAAGCAATGTACACAATTTTTAAACTGGTTCTAACCTCCCATGAAAGACATGGCATCCTCAAATTTATTTTTGTTATATTTCTGATCTTTTCCTAACAGTAGGTTATTAAACTTTTTTCATTTTATGGGATTATTGAGCACCTCAAATCCTAGATATTAACTCATAACATGTAACTAGCAGAGCATAGTCAAAGATATCAGACTCTAAAAAGACAAGATTCACCAACACTTCAATTTACGATCTAAAATCCCTGGAGAACCGTTTAGTATTTGCAGTTTAATTTTCTAATTTATTGATTTTACGAATTCCCGCCGGTAAATACCAATTTTTAACAAGATGGCTGCTAACTGCATACCATTCAGACACTGGTTTTCAACATCATAGAACTGACTTTTAAGGTATCTGTAATGCATCTGTAATAATGTAAAAATTTCAAAAACTGGTTTCGGAGATCACTTTGACCATATATTTATATTAGGAAAAATTATAAAGCCATGTTTTGTGATAATATCCCCTGAATAATACATAATTCTTATTTGCATATTTTCAAAATGATTTATTTCTGAAAACTATTCAATAATCGCGTTCAAATAATTTTCATAATATATCTTAAAATTTGTTAGATTTATCAATAGTTTTTTAATTATTAATTTTTAATGATATTGCATCTTTTCTATTTTTAAGATTAACTATTAAGAATAAAAACTCTGTAGCACTCCTCCTACTTAATGATGATCATTATAAAATCATAATTATCAACAACTATTATATTAAATACAATTAAGTTTATAACATATTGGTCCTTGGAGATAAGGTAACGGCTTGTTTCTACGTTTTGTCTTTTTCTGGTTGATCCGATTACAAAGCCTAAAAAACTTGAATAGAAAGTCTAAAGGTGCCTGAAATCAACAGCGATAACTCATCGAGTCCCATCTCTTTGATATTGAAAACGTGGAAAATCGAATCACCGAGCTGATGATGGAGACAACCAAGTTTCAACACCAAATTGATCTTCTCGATGCGGAAATCGAAAATAATCAATTTCAGACTTAGAATGTCTTAAATTTAATGGTGGGGCAGACCAATGCGAGTCGGTCACCGGTATGTCTCGCGAGGACGATCCTAGCTTAATACTTAATCTTAAAAATAGATCTGTCATTTAATATTAATAATTGGGAAACTCTTTTGGTAAATCTAATAAACTGTAAGACATATTATGAAAATTATTTAAGTGCAATTATTGAATAATTTTCTGCAATTAATCATTTTGAAAATATGCAAATAAGAATTATGTATTATTCATGTGCAAGACCAGAGATTTTGTCTGAACCACAAGACGTCTCCAACACTGAGATGGGATGTGGTTTGTCAAGCTTTGAGAAAACAATTTAGAGATACTCGTACTGATGTTGATATTAGGGAAGCTTTTCGTGATCGCAAGCAAAAAGAGGGGGCAAATTTCGACAGTCCTTACGAAGCAATTATACAGATGATGGATGGATTGGAAGTGCCTTTGAAGGAATTCACAAAGGTCAACATTTTGAAGAGGAATTGGAGACCTGAAATAAGGCGAGTTACTAAACGTATCCATTCATTCTTTGGATCTGTTCATGTCGAACAAGGCAGAGTGCAACATCGAAGTGTGGGCGTCACTGGTCGATGTTTGCGAACCGGTTAAAGACCGCACTACCTGTTCCTAGTATACCTGATAGAGTAAGCTCACGTCATGTTAGTTTAGTCGAGAATAAAAAGTGAAGCACAAAGCAAGTCAACGCAACCCCTCTGTTCCATTTCTTTGGGAAAAACTTGGACGATTCTCGGCACGGACCCGCCCAACATATGGTCACAATCGAACCGGATTTCTTTTCATTGTTTTCCACAAGCTAAGTAATTCCAATGTTTTTCCCACTTGCGATAAAATATATATATATTTTTTCCACACACCCCCGTTCCACAAAATTGGCCTCAATTCTGTGCGAAAAAGCTATATATATAAATTTCTTTTTTTCTTAACATGATTTATATATATATCGTGACTTTGAGCGTGCCCAAACATCGCAATATCGATATTTTTTTTGATTTTTTTTTGTATTTTTATTTTGATTACTCTGAATTCCTAAGCGTTACCGAGTAGAAGTGCCACGTGTGTAAAAACGAAAAATGAACATAAAATTCAATTATATCGATAGAAAGAGCTATTAAAACAAGTGGAAACTCTATCAACTTGACTTCACACCTCAAAAACAAACATTCCGATGTTTTCGCAAAATGAAGGTATGTATTTGTGCTCATATACTACTGCAAATTGACGACAGCCGCGTAAATCCATGTGGTTCTTAACATACATACTTTAATTCTTTTCAATTTTTAGTTGGCAACAAATATTGAAAAAGTTCCAACAATAAGCGAATCTTTCAAGAGTACTGGGGCTTTTAAAGGTAAGTGTGATTAAAAACCACTAGTTGTTTTGTAAAAAATGAAAACTTCTCATTATTTTTATTTTAGAAGACGGGTATAAGTCAAAGGAGATTGCTGATGCAATTGTATATATGATATGCAAGGACAACATGCCAGTGCGATGCGTCGAAGAAGAAGGTTTCAGAGGAATGCTAAACAAATGTGTGCCGCATTTCAAAATTCCTTGCAGAACCAAGGCAAGTATTAATACATTTTTATGTACTATTATACCGTTACTAATATATGTATATTCTTTTTCCAGATTACAACAATGATTGAGGATAAATACAGGCAGTGTGTAGAAACAGTGAATGCAATGTTGAGCGCTGTGCCGGACGTAGCGTTTACCTGCGACGCAGTTACTGTTCCGAATTCGAGTCGCTCTTTTCTGACAGTCACTGCTCATTTCGTTTATAAAGAGTCTCTAAACACTATACGCCTTAATTCTACAAGAATGGATCAGGTTTGTTTAAATTTAAATATTTGTATTTTATATGTGTTTTGTCGTCCATTGTTTATCGTGTTTGTCTTGTGCTTTGTGGTTACTTGTTTCTCATTTACTTATCAAAAAACATTTTTTAAAAACATACTTCTTTGTCGCATACGTTAAATTTAGTCGCATACCAGTGAATATATTTGTACCTTGCTGGAAGAGGCGTGCGCGGAATTTCGTATAGACCGGGTCGAGTGGACCACTCTTACTACAGATAGCGCTAGTAACCGTGCGCCGCGAAACTTTTTTTGGGGCTTGGAAAGCATGAAACTGCCTCGCACACTGCATTAATTTGGTCGTTGATGATACGATTAAAGATATTTATTCATTTACGAACATTATGGATAAAATATAGCGAATTGTTATGCATTTCAAGCATAGTACGTCTATGATGGACCAATTAAGAAAGGCACAAGCTGATGAGGGCATTGCGGAAGGAAAAATTAAGACTATTATCCAAAACGTAGATACGCGATGGAATTCCTGCCAGGATATAATGGAATCCTTTTTGGGTTTAGCCAACAAAGTTGCAGTTATCTTAATTAACAAGTTAGAACGTGTGAAGGGATTACCCGAAATGCTAAATGCTTCAGAGCTGAATATTTGCAGGGACTTGTGTAGACTCTTTCAGCCGTACAAAACAGCGACAGAGCAGATAAATGGTGAACAATACGTCACTGCAAGCCTAGTAATTCCACTAATATCGCTATTAGCAAATAGAACAAACAAATCGAGCTTGGATACAGACAAGGGAAATCGAGACAAGGAGGCGCTAGTTAAGATCTTCGAAAAAAGATTTCAGACGTTCCAGCAACAATTTGAATGCCCAAGAAAGAAGGGTATGTCATCATGTTAAAATTTGGCCAAGTGTAGAAACTTAATAACTAAATAACGTAAAACTAATTATTTAAGTTTAATATTATAAAATTTCAAATTTAGTTTAACATTAGAAAAACACATACTAATTATTTAAATTTTTAAAAATTTTAGATGTTGAGAAACAAGAAGATTTTGACGATTTTATGAGCTCCCACAATTACTCAACTCAAAGGGACATGCACGATGACAATAAGGAGAATAAGGAGCTCAAGTTATACTTCAGCTTGCCGCAAGCAGCTTGGGAAAACAATCCTATGGAGATATGGAAATCTCATAAATCAACCATGCCAAGCCTTTATAAACTCGCCATGAGGTACCTTGTTACCCCGGGTAGCTCGGTACCTTCCGAGCAGTTGGCGTTCGCTATAAATTGCGTGGTGTGCGACTCCAGGAGCCGTGTGACGGAAGCCCACATCACACAAAGAGATTTCCTCAAATCGTTGAAGTCGTCACATTGGAAATAAAATTAAAACATATATCAGTATCATTATATAAGTATTATTATAATTTCTATTATATCTGGAATATATGAACTAATAACAGTATTATTATTAAGTTGAGAATAATTATGAACAATGAACAATTATCTGTGTTATTATTATTATATTAAGAACTTAATGAAGTATTATTATGATTAATTTGAGAATATGTATGAACTGCAAATTGAGAATTTAATGATTTATTATTACAATGAGAATATATATAAAGTATTATTTGTTTTAAACACTTATTGTTTTTTTGATTTGGGAAAAAAATAACTAAAAAAAAATATCTAAAATGTCAAATATATCGATATTTTTTAGTGATATTTTAAATAATATTATCATTTTTTATGATAAAAAAAATATCATCGATACGATATTTTTTTAAATATCTGACAACCCTAGTTTCTTCCCTCTCCTCCATTAGATTACTTGGCAAACAAATGACGAAAAGTGAGAGTAAAATGCATCTATGTAAAAACTGTTTTCAGAATTTCGACGATAGCAGCAAACTGGAAAAACATAGTATGGAGTGTAATAAAAATATAGCTTACGGAATATAATCCCTTCATAAAGAAAGTCATAAAAATTGGGGAAGTTTTTTTTTTTTTTGCGAACCATTTATAACTGGTACCAACAATACAAATAGTGCTGTTACAAAGGATTACTAAAATGTCTCGATGCACTCGCAAAGGTCAAGGTAATGGAAAAAATTCATGGAATATTGTTTATTTATTTATTTATTTATTTACTTATCGCCAATGGATGAATCCTTATCTGGCTACATACGATTACCTTAAATCTATTATTAAAAATTACTTTAAAAATATTCCCTATGGGTTTGCCTTAGCATATCTTTATTGGCCCCCCAGCTGAATCTAATGCTAGAAGGCAAAGAATTAAACAATCTAAGAGCTCTCAGAAGTGGCTCATTGCGAGCATAATTAGTCCCTACAGCACGGTCCAGGAATGGAACCATGGTACGGAGATTACTGGCAGGAACATTAAAATTGATGCATCCCAACAGGCAAGGACAATCAATATTTCCTACTAGCTGATCGTTCCTTGTACCTTGCTGGAAGAGGCGTGCGCGGAATTTCGTATAGACCGGGTCGAGTGGACCACTCTTACTACAGATAGCGCTAGTAACCGTGCGCCGCGAAACTTTTTTTGGGGCTTGGAAAGCATGAAACTGCCTCGCACACTGCATTAATTTGGTCGTTGATGATACCATTAAAGATATTTATTCATTTACGAACATTATGGATAAAATATAGCGAATTGTTACGCATTTCAAGCATAGTACGTCTATGATGGACCAATTAAGAAAGGCACAAGCTGATGAGGGCATTGCGGAAGGAAAAATTAAGACTATTATCCAAAACGTAGATACGCGATGGAATTCCTGCCAGGATATAATGGAATCCTTTTTGGGTTTAGCCAACAAAGTTGCAGTTATCTTAATTAACAAGTTAGAACGTGTGAAGGGATTACCCGAAATGCTAAATGCTTTAGAGCTGAATATTTGCAGGGACTTGTGTAGACTCTTTCAGCCGTACAAAACAGCGACAGAGCAGATAAATGGTGAACAATACGTCACTGCAAGCCTAGTAATTCCACTAATATCGCTATTAGCAAATAGAACAAACAAATCGAGCTTGGATACAGACAAGGGAAATCGAGACAAGGAGGCGCTAGTTAAGATCTTCGAAAAAAGATTTCAGACGTTCCAGCAACAATTTGAATGCCCAAGAAAGAAGGGTATGTCATCATGTTAAAATTTGGCCAAGTGTAGAAACTTAATAACTAAATAACGTAAAACTAATTATTTAAGTTTAATATTATAAAATTTCAAATTTAGTTTAACATTAGAAAAACACATACTAATTATTTAAATTTTTAAAAATTTTAGATGTTGAGAAACAAGAAGATTTTGACGATTTTATGAGCTCCCACAATTACTCAACTCAAAGGGACATGCACGATGACAATAAGGAGAATAAGGAGCTCAAGTTATACTTCAGCTTGAGATATGGAAATCTCATAAATCAACCATTCCAAGCCTTTATAAACTCGCCATGAGGTACCTTGTTACCCCGGGTAGCTCGGTACCTTCCGAGCAGTTGGCGTCCGCTATAAATTGCGTGGTGTGCGACTCCAGGAGCCGTGTGACGGAAGCCCACATCACACAAAGAGATTTCCTCAAATCGTTGAAGTCGTCACATTGCAAATAAAATTAAAACATATATCAGTATCATTATATAAGTATTATTATAATTTCTATTATATCTGGAATATATGAACTAATAACAGTATTATTATTAAGTTGAGAATAATTATGAACAATGAACAATTATCTGTGTTATTATTATTATATTAAGAACTTAATGAAGTATTATTATGATTAATTTGAGAATATGTATGAACTGCAAATTGAGAATTTAATGATTTATTATTACATTGAGAATATATATAAAGTATTATTTGTTTTAAACACTTATTGTTTTTTTGATTTGGGAAAAAAATAACTAAAAAAAAATATCTAAAATGTCAAATATATCGATATTTTTTAGTGATATTTTAAATAATATTATCATTTTTTATGATAAAAAAAATATCATCGATACGATATTTTTTTAAATATCTGACAACCCTAGTTTCTTCCCTCTCCTCCATTAGATTACTTGGCAAACAAATGACGAAAAGTGAGAGTAAAATGCATCTATGTAAAAACTGTTTTCAGAATTTCGACGATAGCAGCAAACTGGAAAAACATAGTATGGAGTGTAATAAAAATATAGCTTACGGAATATAATCCCTTCATAAAGAAAGTCATAAAAATTGGGGAAGTTTTTTTTTTTTTGCGAACCATTTATACCTGGTACCAACAATACAAATAGTGCTGTTACAAAGGATTACTAAAATGTCTCGATGCACTCGCAAAGGTCAAGGTAATGGAAAAAATTCATGGAATATTGTTTATTTATTTATTTATTTATTTACTTATCGCCAATGGATGAATCCTTATCTGGCTACATACGATTACCTTGAATCTATTATTAAAAATTACTTTAAAAATATTCCCTATGGGTTTGCCTTAGCATATCTTTATTGGCCCCCAGCTGAATCTAATGCTAGAAGGCAAAGAATTAAACAATCTAAGAGCTCTCAGAAGTGGCTCATTGCGAGCATAATTAGTCCCTACAGCACGGTCCAGGAATGGAACCATGGTACGGAGATTACTGGCAGGAACATTAAAATTGATGCATCCCAACAGGCAAGGACAATCAATATTTCCTACTAGCTGATCGTTCAGAAAGAGAAGGCCAGCAGTTGCACGGCGATCCTTCAAGGAACAAGTGTGAAGCAGGGAACTCTGACTATCATAGGGCGGTGCCGGTTCAGTAAAATGCAAGGATTGCAAACTTCAAAAACTTTTTCTGCAACCTCTCAATCCTATTGATCTGGACACTTCCCGAGGGATTTCAAATGAAGGAAGCATATTCAACCCTAGAACGGACAAAAGCAGAGTATACAGACAGTGGCAGATCTAGGGTTGCTGGCGCCCGGGGCAAAGCGAAAAATTCCGCCCCCTCCCTATTTGCTGTACGAATAACATTAGGAGTATTTTGTTTGTTTTTCACTATCAATTCCAACAGATGATTGTCCAGCGTTTTCTATCTCCGGAATCTCCTTTGATAAAGATTCCACCTGAATAAAAAATCAATTTGGTTCATTAAAAAAAAAATTACAACATATTCCAAATATTGCACCACCTTTCATCATACCTCATTTTTAATATCGCTTGTACACTCGTCTATAACATGCTGTGTTGGATTTGTCCAGAAACCGAAGGATTATTTGAGGTGTCTGAGGTTTCCTTGTTATGACTTTTCACGTAATTTAACATAAATTCTTTCGACAAATTTTCGGTGCGTTGTTTTTTTGCCCGGATTTTTTTGAACTGGGCACCACTTGGTTTTATTCGTTTCATTTTTGTGTTTTCCACGCCTAATTTGAAATAGTAGAAATATATTTTTAGAACATCAAGAAATGGAAGGTTCAGTGAACAATATTTGATAAATAACATCGAAGCATAAGTACCTTGATTAAATGTTGCAATAGAAAACAAGGGAAAACGCTATAGTCGAGTACCTCGACTATCAGATACCCGTTACTCAGCTAAATGGAGATATGCAAGCAGCAAAGCGAGATTAAAATGCGCCACCTACCGGCGGTATACAGATTTAAGCGTTATGGGCGTTAGAGTGGGCGTGGCAAATTTTTTTTTGGATCAATCGATAGGTATTGACGAGACCAATACATTTCAGTTAAAATTTTTTATCTAGCATGAAAATTGTGGGCGTCACAGGGTTTTGCGGTTTGTGGGCGTTAAAGTGGGCGTGGCAAATTTTTTTTTGGATCAATCGATAGGTATTGACGAGACCAATACATTTCAGTTAAAATTTTTTATCTAGCATGAAAATTGTGGGCGTCACAGGGTTTTGCGGTTTGTGGGCGTTAAAGTGGGCGTGGCAAATTTTTTTTTGGGTCAATCGATAGGTATTGATGAGAACATTACATTTCAGTTAAAATTTTCTATCTAGCATCAAAACTGTAGGAGCCACAGTTTTGGGCGGTTTGTGGGCGTTAGAGTGGGCGTGGCACTCTACTGAAACAAACTTGCGCTGCGCAGGAATCTCAGGAATCTGCGTGCCTAATCCCAGTATTGTAACTCTCATAGTTTCCGAGATCTCAGCGTTCATACGGACAGACGGACAGACGGACAGACGGACAGACGGACATGGCTAGATCGACTCGGCTAGTGATCCTGATCAAGAATATATATACTTTATGGGGTCGGAAACGCTTCCTTCTGCCTGTTACATACTTTCCGACGAATCTAGTATACCCTTTTACTCTACGAGTAACGGGTATAAACACTGCCTTGATTGGAATGTATGTAAACAAACGCGCTCATAACCTAACACGTATACTGCTCGCTCTCTCTCTCTCTCTCTCTCTAAGCAAGATAGTTTATTATGACGTTTCGAGCGTCCCCTTTTCCTTTTGATCACATCATAAAACACTTACACTTGTATTCTATAGGGAGCGTTACATGCGCAGCGCCGCGGGAAAATATGAATTCTCGAAACATATATTGCTACTCGATTCAGCGCCTCTCAGATTTGGCGCCCGGGGCTCTTGCCCCTGTGTAAATGATCCTCAAATGCATTTATACAGTGATTGGTAAAGACAGCCAAGTTGGTCGTCGTAGATCGACCGGGCATGAAGCCATGGTGATTAGGTTCGATGTAAGACTTTATTAAGAAAGATAATTTTTTGAAAATTATTCTTTTGAACAATTTAGCTATGTTGCTGATCCTAGCAATTGGCCTATAGTTAGAAATATCAAATTTACTTCCTCCTTTATGGACCGGGGTGACTCTAGAAATTTTTGATCTAACTGGGAATCTTCCTTGAGACACGGAAGAAGAGAACAGAGAACAGGGGTAGGTAAGGACTGACAATACAATTCTTAAGGAAGAATGAAGAAATTCCATCAAAGTCTAGTCTTGGGGAATCATCAAAATAACTAATTGCTTTAGAAATGTTATCATACGATATGTCCAGGCTTCCAATGTCTCAAATTTCTGCAATTGAATTTAAAGTTTCCAGGTCATACCAATCATCGGAAGGTTCTATGTTCGAGGAAAAAAAGGCAGCAAACAAATTTGCGATAGCGGCCTCAGTGGAAGCAACAACATCACCATACGACATTGTTGAATGCTGTCAAGAGTATTTCTAATCGTTGAAAGAAAGGTTTTATAATTAGTTTCTATGCAAGGGTTCGATAGCAAGGCACCCCAATTTAAGGATAGCAGGAAATCCTTTAGGGAACTCAAGCTAGAGGGATCAAATATATATCTAGTATTAGAATCATTGAATGGCAGATAGCTGTTAAACTCGATGTTTAAGCACAAGGGTTTGTGATGTACAACACAATTTGAAATCGTAAATTCAGCCAGAGTTACGTAAGAGTGAACAATAGAATTAATGAAGATTAAATCAGAAGCTTATTCAAATCATTGAAAACATTATAAATTTGGGTGAGGTCCATACTAAAACAGTCATCTATGAAAATTATTTCATGTGAATGATGAACATTTCCAGGCACCGTAGCAGATGCTTGTGGGTCCCACGTCCAAAAAACAGAGCTGAGGTCGAAGTCTCCTGCCATACATATGCCATCAGAGTCCTCCAAGCTGGCATGGATGTTAGAGATGTTGTCTAAGTGAGCCTGGTAAAGCCCAGAATCACCGCCAGGTGGAACATAGGAAGCCACAATCGATACCTTCCCGGACGAGCCAGACACCGTCACCGCCAATTGGTCCAGAAGGGAGTCATCGTTAAGGAGTCGAATTACAGTGCAACAGAATTTACGGCTAACAGCCACTATGACACCACCTCCTCTCTCGCACTGCATTCTGCCGAAGTCTCTATCTTTACGAAAAACTTGGAATAATTTAGGATCGAAGAATTCATTTGAACTAAAGTTAGAATTTAGCCATGTCTCAACCAGTATGATAATGTCATAGTCACTGTTGGAAGTATTCATAAAGACAGATTGCGTTTTAGTTCTCATGCTGGATATATTATGAAAGTATATTTTCAGGCCATTATTTACTTTACTGAAGGCAAGCCCCTAGCAGGTTGCCAGTCAGCGCATATTGTTGAAGAGGAATTCTCAACATCCAAATTAGATTTCGGCCTCGCATGATCATAAGTACTATTAGGTACCTTGCGCAACGTATCCGTACGTATTTTTATAGGCAGGTTGAGATCGTCGTTCCATGGAATAATAGTGCAGTCGAATTGGGAATATGTAAATGATTTTCTTACGGACGCATGCCTGTTCTGTGACGGCCATCCAAAGAGCGTAAAAGAAATTGCATCAATAGAGAGAGAGGCGGTGAAGAGCACAGTGAAGAGTGTATCCGACTACTCACAAAAGAGAGCGCTATCCCAAAAGGCGCGCTGAGCTCATTAGTATTAGAATCCGAAGATAGCAGCATCCGATGTTGGTTTCACATATTTTCAATGAGCGGGTTCCAACCTAATGAAGAGTAAGAATCCAGCCGATGTTCTAGGTACTTCGGGAGAGAGGCGCAAGATGATGAGGACGCAACTCCGAGGAGCGCGCCGATATTAGAACCGGGCGGACAGCGAATGTCGCGCAAAGCGGACAACAAAAGCTCCGGCTGATGTTGTTGATGGTGCGTTAGGAGAGATACAGAAGATGATGAGGGCGCAGTGAGAAAGACAAACAGCTGCCGATGTTGTTGCGAAAGCGACTCCGACAAATGAGGAAAGGCATGAAAAAGATGTCCCGCAAAAGTATCAACGCCAGTGGCGTCGAACACTAGGGGTTTTTTGATGGATGACTT